TATAAGAACAGATTCAAGCCACATAAAATGGAGCTGAGACGTTAAATCTTTTTAAAATGAAAATAAATCTTGTTGTTTTTTACACCCTCTCTCTGTCGTCTCTGTCGTTTCAGTGGGACCTCGTCTGTGACAGAAAAAGTTTGACGAAGGCCACGAGCACGATCTTCTTTCTGGGCGTGATGATGGGAGCCATAACGACTGGATTCCTCTGCGACAAGTAGATGTTTAAAAACTGTTTCACAGTAAATCTGTTGAAAATGATTTCTCTTCATGACCTGAACTCTTTTTTTCTTGCAGGTATGGAAGGAGAAACGTTCTCTTGGCCTCCTACATCATGGCGTTGGTGTTCGGTTTCTCCAGCGCTTTTGCAAACTCCTACGTCCTGTTCGCCATCCTGAGATTTCTCACCGGGTTCGGACTGACGGGAATCGGCATCAATTCCTTGGTTCTGAGTAAGTTCCGGAGTCTAAAATAGGTTCAGACGTCTGTATCTGTGAAGTCCGCAAAGTGACATCAACATAAAAACAAGAAGAATTTTACAGAACAACCATTGTGTTGTTTCTTTGAATCATTGTTGTTCATGTATTTCGTCTTTTCTCGCCCGGCAGCCATTGAGTGGGTGGACACAGACCACCGGTCGTTCATCGGCGTGATGGGCAGTCTGTCCTGGTCCGTTGGGAACATGCTGTTGGCAGCTTTTGCCTACTTGGTGAACGACTGGCGGAATCTGATCATGGTGGTTACGGCTCCTCTGGGTTTCGCAATTTTGACCTGGTGGTGAGCGAAGCACAGGGAGAACATTCCACATTTCTCTAAAATGACTTGATTCCGTCAAATGAAATGTTTAGTTTTGATTGATGTGTCCACCGATCATTGATTACTGATGATCTGAATGTGACTGCAGGTGGATCCCTGAATCTGCTCGGTGGCTTCTGGTGAACGGCAAAGTGGAGAAAGCTCAGTTTTACCTCGACAAATGTGCAAAGTTCAACAACCGACCAAAAGTGTCGACCAAATTCAAACTGCAGGTGAGTGTCAGCTCAAACACTTCGAGTCCTCGTCCTGTCGTTCAGCGGAGGAATGAAGCTCCTCCTCTGTTTCTGTTCAGACGCTCTGCGACGTTGAAAACTCAGAAGAACAAAACAAGAGCTACAGTTACGTTCATCTGATCAAGACGCCGAAGATGAGACAGTTAACGCTGATCACTGGGATTGTGTGGTGAGCGTTACACAAGTTAAAATGACCATGGTTCCAAACTTCATATTAATGAATATATTAATTTGAACTTCAATGTCTGTTTGAATATTGTTTCACTGAAACTATTGATGAAACATAAACTAATAAAAAACAGCTCGACATAGAAAATCAAATCAGGAGAAAATCTAATATCTGAATATTATAAAAAAGAAAATGTAAAATTTATACATGTGACACAAATTAAATATTTATATTCAGAAAGAAATCCTAGATGTAGAAATCCTAGAAAAGTTCAAGAGTCGGAGGATCGGAGCGTGTCGATGAACAAACGATGATGAGTCTTTGTTCTCTGCAGGTACGGAGTCGCCTCCACGTATTATGGAATCAGTCTGAACATCGGCGGGTTTGGACTGAACATGTACCTCACTCACTTCATCTATGCAGCCATCGAAGTTCCCGCCAAACTGATGGTCTACTGCTTCCTCAACATCATCGGACACAGGAAATGTCAATCGGGGACGTTGCTCCTGACAGGAATCTGCATCGCCATCAACATTTTCCTTCCAAAAGGTCCGAACGCACGAGTCAGACACGCGGCAGGAGTGATTCTGAGTTTCTCTGTGACCGATGGTTGTAAATAAAGACGACTCCACTTCACTGAAGAAAAATTTAAACCACAATATTCAGGAGCTTCCATCTTGTGCAGATGACAGCAAACGAGGCTGCTGTACCAAAACATTAAACACTTCTAAACGTTGTAATAATAATAATAATGTAATAATACTCCTTCACAGGATGTGAACACACACTCGTGTCTGTTGTTTGTAGATCTGTGGCACCTGCGCACTGTTGTTGCTATTCTTGGAAAAGGTCTCTCAGAAGCTGCCTTCACGACCGTCTTCCTCTACACGTCCGAGCTTTACCCGACTGTCCTCAGGTCAGTTACCCTTTTTATCAGTCCGACCTTGTTTCATAGATTGAGTTGTACCCTCCAGCTCGTTGTGCTACTGAAATCCTCTCATTAAACATTTAGATTTGAATTTGTTTTGTACTTAATTAAGACGAAACATCACTGAATCGTTTAACGTGGAAGAAGAAGAGTGATCAGAGTCGTACTGACGGTCACGTACTGTCACTGATTCATCCTGTTGGTCCTGAAGATTCACTTTCTCTCTCTCCAGACAAAACGGTTTGGGCTACACCAACTTCGTGAGTCGTCTGGGCGTCGCCGTGGCTCCTCTCATCCTGCTGCTGGAGGACGTGTGGACTCTCCTTCCTCAGATCATCATCTGCTCTGTGGCCGTCGTGTCCGGCCTCGCGTCCCTGCTGCTGCCAGAGACTCTGAGGGTGAAGCTGCCGGAGACCATCGAAGAAGTCGAGGAGCGGAGCCAGGTAAACACTGAAGACACAACATGAGAACGTCCTCAGAGACGAGTTTGTCCCCACTGGGTGGAAGAAAGTTACAACTATAGAAGCATATTGTTGCCTCACCAGAAATAGAAAAACAGAACGCAACGTAAAAACGTTTATGTGATAACAAGATGTTTTTTATAAAACATAAAAACACAACACGTTAGAACCTGATGCTGATCTGTTTGTCTTTTTTAAGCTTCTGTTTGTTTAAAGATCTGGACGTCACCTTGTAAAGTCTCTTCAGATCATGTGACCTGGCACCACATAAACACAGTAACACGAACACACGTCCTGTTTAACTTCTGCTTTTAAGAAGCGTTCAATGTTCGACTAGTTTATTGTTTTTACTTGAGACAGATTTGTTGATTTTGGAGCTCGTGCTCTGGACACAGAACACAAGAGTTCAGAATCAGTGAATAATAACAATTTAAATAAAGTTTATTCGTTTGAACATTAATTGTTGAATTAATTGAATATGGGTCAAAAAGCATTTGCAAATTATTACTGTTGAGGTTTTACACAGCGTACAGACTCTTTTTCTTTCCTTTCAGAAGAAATAACGTCTCCTCTCACTCTACGGAAACTTCTGCTGGAAACAAAAACCCAAACAGGAAGTGACCAGTGATGACACAACACTGACCTCGAACACTTCACACTGGACTGTGACCGTTGAGCCAAATATATGATACTTGTGTGGACTGACTTTAATCACTATTATTATTATTTTATCGTTATCTTTTTCTCAACTCTTTTATTATTTTATCTTTCTTGGTTTTCCTGCCTTATTTAAATTGATGGGATTTATAACACTTCCTGTTGATAGTGTTTTGCTCAGTTCATATGTGTGTGTGTGTGGGGGGGGGTTATCATGTTTATGACTTTTATTCTGTAAATTACTTTGTGTTACATTGTATGAAAAGTACAATTGAGTGACGGAGTGATTCATCGTTAGGTCAGTTGGTCAGTTAGTTTGTTAATTGGTTGATTGGTTGGTCAGTTAATTGACTGGTTAGTTGTTTGGTTGATTTGTTGGTTGGTCAGTCAGTCAGTCGGTTGGTCGGTCAGTTGGTAACACTGTAGGGAAACAGACACTTACATCCAGTACCTTTGTGGGATTTTCCTGAAAACAGCAGAATCATTAATTATTTTTATTTGACACCTGCAGGTGGACGCTCAACAACCCGACGTCTCTCACCGAGAGACGTGAAGTGCAGCCCTGCTCTTATACATACGACCAGAACTGTGGAGACACCTGTCAAACATACATCACTGCTCCTGACACGCTTACCTTCTACGGCACAAGGCCAAGCTAAAAGTGGACAGGAGATAGAGTGAGCACCTATCTCTGCGGCTGTGGTTTAAATAGAATAGAAAAGGCGCAAATAGAATTTGACGGCGCTGAGAGGTGGTGTGAAGAATGACAAGAATGTGCATCCGCTGTAATTTCCGGTGGGAAAGCTTCTCAGCATTTTTTTTTGTGAAACTGCAAATTCTGATCTTTTGATTTCAACACGACCACAAATAAACTTGGTGAGACTCTGGTGGGACTGACGTGTTGTTTGTAACCATAGCGTCGGTTCAGGCGGAGCAGTGGTTCATTCATTTTACTGTAGCTGACCGGAGGTGTTAGCGACGCTTCGTATTCACTGCTGGTATTCGAGTCATGTGACTGACAAGGACCAATCAGGAAGAGAAAGTGGACGTCTGCGTTTCCGTCCAGACTAAAATACAACACCTGACTCTTCAAACTAAAATGGAACCAGCAGCGTTGCGATTGCTGATAGCAGTAGTTTGGATGTGTGATGTAACCGTAGCAACAGTCTGCGGTGCTACAGCTAATGGATGAATGGATGTTCATGGTTCTATTAAAGGGGAATTTGTTTTTCCGGTAGAATCCTTCTTGCTGCTCAGTTTTTTTAAGATCTAATGGTTTTGTTCTATGATGTAAAAGTCTTTAACTTAAGGTTGGTTTTTGTTTTAGCTTCTGAAATCCAACAGGAGTATGAGTTCTCATCCAAACTAAACCAATGACAGTGCTTTTAAAACTGTATTCTATCCTTAGAGTCTCGTCTCCACAGTCTCAGCCACAGAAACCACAGTGGGACTTCTGTCCTCCTTTTGATTTGGGTTGTGACAGCAGGGCATCGCCTGCATCACCTCTTTGAGCCCTTTGGTCATGAATATATAGAGGAAGGGGTCGACCAGAGGGCTGAGGTACAGCAGCAGGTGGGACACCAGCTCCAGGTAGCGCACCGTCTCCTTAAACGCCAGAGCCTCCAGCAGGATGCTGAGGATGAAGGGAATGTAGAGGAGGGTGTAATTGGCCCAGATTGCACCAATGCCCCACACCGTCCTCCTCTTCTCTGGTGTCCTGGGATTGGAGCACATCAGGGCTCTCCAGGAGTCCAGGGCGAAGAAAAGGAGGAAGGGGAAAGGGACGAGGAGAGCCACCGCAAACCAGAATTTGTAATCGAGCACAGCCAGGGCGAGCACGGCCAGCGGAGCGGCCCACGCCACCAAGGCAACAGCAGGAGAGCGCCGGATGCTGCTGCAGCAGCCGACACACTGCGGGTACGACAGTGAGACGTGTCGCTCATGAGCTATAAACAGCATGAGGGCAATGTTGGAGATGACACCGAAGTAGAAGATGAAGTCTGTGGTGTTAGAGGAGAGGTCTGTCCCGCTGTTCATGTCTTGGTCCACACGGGGGCGACCAAAGAAACTGATGATGTCAGAAACCAGAAGGAACATGACGTGGATGGGAACTTTATTTTCACCTGGACAAAAGAGGACATTGTTATTATATTTGTCATTTCCTAAACATTTTCCTCCGACTTCATGCACTGGAATGATGTCGACACTGAGTATAACTCCTTCTGCTTCGAGAGGGACGGCCTCCAGGTGTCTTTATTTAGGGGCTGCATCCTTTGCAAGATTCTCTGGTCTACAGAGGATTTGCATGATCTGCGTCACCAGCCTCACCCTCCCTTATTGCTGTTGCCTAGCAACAGAGCTACAGTTGGACACGATGTCCTGAGGTTTTTCTAACATAAGCACCGTCACCTGTTCTGTTGAGCCGAAGTGTGATCGTTTGCTGCCGCCTTTACCTCTTTAAAGAAAGGTTCATCCCCAAAGCACTATGAATCCTGGGATAGGTCTGGAGGTTTGGGAGGATCCACCAACGGGAGCCTTTGTTTCTTGGGGAGAGGGGGGGGGGGATGAGGGGATGCATTTGGAGGATCCTCAAATTCTAGTCGCACCGTTCTTCAACTAATTGTTATGTTGGATAAAGGTTAAGATCTGATTGATGAATGATCCAAACAAAACAAAGAAAGTAAAACAGAGATATCACGACCAACAGCTGTTGGGTTGTTCTGGTGGTTTCTCCTCGTCTTAAATATAGAAATAAAAAAAGTAATTAGTTAGCGAGCTGAGGGGGATGGCTAGCTTAGCGTCTGACGTCCCATCACCCCTCACTTTGCCTGATCTTCACATGTGATTGAATGACTCGTGTCTCAGCAATGTCACAACAAACCTTTGGACAGATTCTTGAGGGCGTAAATAGCCAGTCCAATGGCGGGCAGCCCGATGCTGAAGGTCAGCCAGTTGATGATCGTGGCCACCTGCGCAGCATTCGACGTGGTGGCGTTGCTGGTGATGTTGATGAGGGGGGGCACAGTTGTTGTCACTGTGTTAGTGTCGGCCATAAGAGGCCTCGCCGTGGCTATTTATGTGCTCAGCTGTTTAGATTATCACTGGGGTCCTCAGAGCGAGGTGCTCCGCTGAAGGTGTGGACGCAGTGTAGTGAGGACGGCAGCCGCCTGGTTACAGTCAAAACAAAGACCAAAGTCACACAATAACAAGTATGTCTCTTGTACATGAGTTAATTAAGTGGCTTTCAACAAAACGACAACAGGGTGCTAACTTTTCTGTGTCACTGATGTGTGACGTCCAAACTGTGCACTGAGTTTCTGTCCATTTGACCTGAAACATGTGAATTGTCCAAAACACGTCTCACTTTTCACGTCATGTTTTTTCCGACGAGCACCGAATCGTAAACTCACTCAGGTTTAACATCTTTGAATTTAGTCATTCTACTCTGTTGATTCAATATCTTCTGTGTAGTTCACACACTTTGTGTATTCTTGCGTTTACATTGCATTTGTTGTGTTTACATCAGATATAGAAAAGGAACTTTTGACCATCCTCACACATGACACCTACGTTCTGGTTCCCTGAGGTTTCTCAGCTCCTTTGCTGCCGGATTATCTTATTTTATCTTATCACTAACATTGATGTCTGAAAACAGACGGGGACGCTGGAGTTTTACTGTGAATGCGGCCGTCTGCAGATACAGGAAATCTAAAAAAATTCTAAGGAAATTCCCTGAGTTCCTAATTTTGTTTGAGATTGATGACCAAAATATGTTTAAACACAAAATATGGTTTGAATATTCAAAAGAGCAGAACTGTAGTTAGAGCTGAAAACCATGTTCAAGAAAAGAAAAGATTCTCAAATTGTTTAGAAAACAGAAACTACTTTGAATGAAACCAACGATAACTAGAATATTAGATTTATTCCTGTAATGTTACTATTACTGTTATTATTATTATTATTACTATGACTTTATTCTCAATGTATTATTTTTTCTGTGTCCCTACAATCATAATAACAAACTAAAGGACTGAGGTGAAAAATTAAGGTTTAACTTGAATTGATGTAAAATATGTTCTCTTGTCATTTATATATATATAATAATAATAAAATTCATCATACGTTAGCTCAGGTTATTTTGTGTCTAATTGCTCAAGGGTTCCATTTTCATCTCCTCTTGAATAAGCAGAGCACATTGATCCTGAACCATCATCTTACCTGGAACAAACTTTCATCCATGACAAACCCTCAGTTTTCTCTCCAACTTGTTTTTCAAAGACCAAACAGCTGAATGAGTTTTTAGATTAGTGTCAAATCCTGTTCAAATATTTCAATTCCCTCTAAAGAGTCGGAGGTCAGAGTCCAGGTCTGAGTGCGTCTGGATCTTTGTGTGATGGTGTTCGGTGTTTGTTTCTACCAAGTCGTTTATTGCTGCAGAGCTGAGGCTCCTTATCTCAACTGCTTTGACTGAAGCTGAATATTCTTCATTCATTCGCAGTCCTTGACGGTGCAGGAAGTGAGGATTTGCATGAAAGACTGTTGTCAAACATTAGAAGAGATTTTATCTGAACTCTGTTTCTGTTTGTCTGCTTAAAGGGGCAGTTCACCAGAATTACACCTGAGCATCATGGGACACAGCGTCATGGGATGAGATCAAGTATAGAGCAACACATCCCTGACATCGTCTGTGTTATCATAGCTTGGACTTGGACAAATTAAATAAGAACAGGAAGCATCCAGGGAAAGCCTTATGGCAAAATTGCATTGTGGGAAATGTAGGTTGCATTATATTATCAGAATATCTTGACCTCTGCCGCTTTGACTGAGACGCACGAGTCCTTTAACTTCCAACATTAAAAGACGTGTGAGAGTAAAAGACTGGATCGCTCCCATCTATCATCTAGACTCAGACATATTCTAATTGTCTCGCCACAGTTTCATAATGAGGCGAGCAGCAGCACAGTCTGAATGTCGTGCACGTTGTCGTCGTGTTGCCTGAGTTACACAGCGTCATCATTTTTGTGTGGTTTGCTGCACTACTGCCACCTGATGGACAGAAGAGGAACAGCTCATTGTAGCCATCAGCACGGTCTTGAGAAACACGGTGAGTCAACGGTCTGCAGGAACCTTTTAGTTCCTGTAACAAAGCTGACGAAACCAACGGTTCCTGGTACTTTTTGATGTGAAAATGTGCTGATCAATGGTCAACTCATCAGTGGAGAAAGAGTTCAGGAGCTCTTTGACGTCTGATGCTGAAATATTTATTGAATCTTGGCCAAGGAGAAAATCAGAATTCATCCATACAACGTCTGTGCATGATGCTCTCTCATATTCTGAAGTCTGCTTTCCTGCAGAAACACTTTAAACCCCAACAGATCATTTAATCTATGGGTGTGCTCGTTCCTAAACAATCAAGTGTAGTTTCTGGTTCTGGAGACAGTATTTCCTGCTTACACAGTCTCATATCTGTGGTGTCTAGGGAGTGAAGCCTTTGACATTTGCCAAACTCTCGCACTTCCCAAACACAACAGCCTGCTGCACTACGCCCCAGAGAGGACAAGAGACAGCGTCTACGAACGGTTCAGAACACGTTTGGTATTTTAAATAAATGTAATAAATATAGACGTAAGAGTTGGGGTAATATGTTTCCCAGTCTTTCCACGACTTTGCTCTTCTTGATTAAGACTAAACCAGCGGTGAAGGTGATGATGGTTCTTTAACGCATGAACTTATCTGTGTTTCACGCACTTAAAGGAAGCAGCTTCTACGATGATTTGAACCTTTACAAGTACTTTTTGACAACTAGTACTGCTGAGGAGCAATATTTTCATACGGGGATCATTTGTGTGAGTGTGAAAACAAAGGTTCAGCTGATGCCGATGAGGGA